CTTCCTGTGTGCTTGGTTAGCGGGGCCAATTTGACTTTCTCTGGTAGGTCCCAGTGTGGAGGCGGGACAAAAATGAGGGAAGCTGACGGACAGCTGTCCGTCATCATCAAGTCCTGGCTGTTGGGGCTGGTCGTTTACAGGGGTGCTGTTCCGCTTCCTAGAAGGGTGATTCCAGCAGGCTGGCTCCCCAGGCCGGGCACCGTGGGTAAGGGTCTGGCTTCCCGGGCTGGCCATGGACCAGAGTTCTATTTTTATATGTGGTCTGGCCAGTCTTCATTTGCAGAGTCAGTCTCTTAGGATCTTAAAAGCTCCCAAGGGCAAGAATTGCCAACTGTGGCCTGCAGGAGTTCAGGTCAGCTTAGAGGGAGCCTTTGCACTGACGTGGTGGGACAGAAGCCAGCCTGGAGTGGGTGTAGGGGGAGTAGGAGAAGAGGGGTGCAGTCTATCTTTCTAGAAACTTACTGGGTAGGGAAGGTGAGGAATGGAGTGTGAGGTAAAGGACAGACACAGGGACTTCTGGTCAAGATGGAGGCACGGATAGAAACCCTTCGCTTCCTCGCACAACCAAAAGGAGGATAACAACCGATCTAAAGTCAGTGAACAACCAGAAGCGCCAGAAAAATCAAACTGCATGGAACTCACAACCAAGGAATTAAAGAAAAAAAATATACCAGAAGAACCAGACTGGTGTTCCAAAACAAAGAAATACGGCCCAAATGAAAGAACACACAAAACCTCGGAACTAAGCGATGAGGAGGTAGCTAACCTATCTGATGGAGAGTTCAAAGCCCCGGTAATCAAAATGCTCACAGAGCTGATTGAGCTTGGTCGAAAAATGAAAGAACAAATGAAAGATACCCAAAATGAGATAAAGCAAAATATTCAGGGAACCAGCAGTGACAAGAAGGAAACCAGGATTCAAAGCAACAATTTGGAACAAAAGGAAGAAATAAATATCCAGCTGGATCAGAATGAAGAAACAAGAATCCAAAAAAAATAAAGAGAGGCTGAGGACTCTCTGGGACAACCTGAAATGTTTCAATATCTGAATCATAGAGGCACCAGAAGGAGAAGATCAACAGTAAGAAATTGAACACTGATTTGAACAAATAATGAAGGAACACTTCCCCAATCTGGCAAAGGAAATAGACTTCCAGGAAGTCCAGGAAGCCCAGAGAGTCCCAAAGAAGTTGGACCCTAAGAGGAACACACTAAGGCACATCATCATTAAGTTACCCAAGATTAAAAACAAAGAGAAAATCCTAAAAGCAGCAAGAGATAAGGAGACAGTTGCCTACAAAGGAGTTCCCATAAGGCTGTCAGCTGATTTCTCAAAAGAAACCTTGCAGGCAAGAAGGGGCTGGAAAGAAGTATTTAAAGTCATGAAAGGCAAGGACCTACATCCAAGATTTACTCTATCCAGCAAAGCTTTCATTTAGAATGGAAGGGCAGATAAAGCGCTTCTCAGATAAGGTCAAGTTAAAGGAGTTCATCATCACCAAGCCCTTATTATATGAAATGTTAAAGGGACTTAACTAAGACAAAGAAGATAAAAAATATGAACAATAAAATGACAACAAACTCATATCTATCAACAAATGAACCTAAAATAAAAGAAAAACGAAAGCAAAGCAAACAACCAGAACAGGAACAGAATCAGAAAAATGGACATCACGCAGAGGGAGTTCATTGGGGAGGGGAAGGGAGGAATAGGAGGAATAGGTTCAGGGAAGAAGCAGCATAATTGGTAGGCATTAAATGCATGGGGAGAGATAAAAAATGGTATAGGAAACAGGGCTCAAAGAACTTATATGTACAACCCATGGACATGAACTAAGGGGGGGATGCTGGAGGGTTGGGGGCAGGATGGAGGGGGGAGAAAGGGGGAAAAATTGGGAAAACTAATAGCATAATCAATGAAAATAAAACAAAAAGAATGTGATCACAAAGGATATTTCTGCAGAAGAATGGATATGTTTCACTTTAATGTACAAAAAATAATTTTGTCTTAAAGTAAAACATACCTGCTTGTGTCAGAATAAAAATGATACTAATAGAAAAAAAAAAAAAAGAAAGGAGAGACACGGGAAAACCGTCAAGGTCCAGCGGAAGGAGCTGCTGTGAGCAGAGAGCTTGCTGGGGTGGGGCCGCCCAGGGCCTGCACCTGCCAGGGTTTGCCCTGTGCCCACGAGAGTGGCCCCCGCTCACCCCCCCATGCACACACGCACACACGCGGGCGCGCACACACACACACACAACCCTGGGGAAGGGCGGTACCGGCACAGCCCGCAGCGGGGGAGGCCCGGGCCCTCTGCCCAGCACTTCTCTCTTCTCGCCAGCTCGCCTCTCCCTCCAGAAATGCAGGCGCCTTCCTTGGCACCACTTTTCCCCCACTTTTTCCCATTTTTCACCACTCGGCCTCTGACGTCCTTCCTCTGTCTGCATAGCCCTGGGCCCCCCTCTTTCTCTTTCTGCACGACATCTGTCAGTGGGAGAGTAACACTGACCTGGCCAACGTGGCTGACCCCCTCCTGTACGCAGGCGCAGAGGCCTCTCCGTTCTGGAGAGAAATTGGACCCACCCCCTGTGAACTCGGGGGTTGTTCGCTTCGCTGAGTTACTGGGTACAGGCACCCTAAAGCTCCCCAGTCTCTTCTGGGATTTTCACCGAGTTGCCGTCTCCCCCTCCTCTCCCTCTGGTTAAACCGACTTGTCCTCAAGCGTCGGTGTTGGAGAGAAAGCAGATGCTCTCAGTGAGGGTTGCTGGTTCCGTCCGCAGCAGCGCCTCCTGCCCCCCATTCTTCCCGCTGCTGTGTGGGCGAGCCCCTGGCCGGCAAGGGCAGGGGGAGAATGGGAGGTGGGGGCATGGGTGTCGAGAAGCAGCTGTGGGCTGGCACCAGCTGGTGGCAGGGTCCCTGTGTGGGGCAGGTGGTCTATCCTGGAAGCCTGTTGGCGCCTCTAAGCTGCCTTCTCCCGCCCTAGCAGAGGTGGGTGTGGAGGGAGTGAGGGTCAGAAGGGCAGGGGCTGCCCGCTTCTCCTTTTGTTTCCCTGGCTCTGCCAGTGTCGGGGCGACTGTGCAGACTCATCGCTTTGAAAGTCCCTTCCCAGGAGGATTTTCTATTAAGGCAGATGGGCCCATCTTTTTTTTTTTTTTTTCCCTTCAATTAAAAAGTGCCAACAGGTCACCAACCAGCAACGTGCCAGGCATTGTGCTAAGCACCTGACCCTGCATCATCTCACTCAATTCTCCACAGGCAGCCAGGGATCCTTTCAAAGTGCAAATCACTTACTCCTCCCCTGTTGCAAGTTGGAGAACTAGGCCCGCCTCCCGCATCCTGCAGGACTGACAGGGCATGGCCCCACCTCCCTCCCAGTTCCCCGGCATCCCCGCCCTGCCCCTCCCCTGCTCACCACGCCCTGTTGCTCCTGGCGCTGCTCCTGCCACAGGGCCTTTGCACTGGTTATTCTGAGCTCCGCCCAGCTCACTCCCTCACGTTATCAGGCATTCGCAAGCGTCTTCTCAGACAGGTCTCACCGCATCTAAAATACCACCCATCGTCACGCTCTGCGTCTTTCCTGCCTGCATCTTTAACAACACCCAGCACACCTGGAATCAAAGTTGCATGAAGGCAGGGGCCTGGTTTTGTTCACAGCTCCACTTCCAGGACCAAGAGTGGTGCCTCCAGTAGAACAGTCATCGCAAAATAGGGAATAAATAAATAAATGGGTGGGTACTCACAACAGCTCATGCAGTCAGGGCTACAATTCTGCCCAGGTTACAGATGAGGAAACTGAGGCAGAGAGGTGTCAACCCTGTTCTCAGAGTCAGAGAGCCAGGTGGGTTCAGTAGCCAGAGAGCCAGGTGGGTTCAGGAGGCAAAGCGCCTGCCTGTGGGGGTCTGGCTCTCTCTGCACACAAAGCTGTGTCCCCACATAGGACCGCTGTCCCCCAGGCACTCGAGAAAAAAGCGTTTTGTGGCTGAACCCGTGTGGCAGACGTCGCAAACTGGGTTTCCCCACTTGCTGTTTCAAATTCCTGTTGCATCTGAAAGGCCCTGAAAATCCTGTGGGAAAAACCTTGGTTGGACTTGGGGAGTCAGTGTTTTCAGAAGCTTTGACCGGGGAAGTCTTTGTTTATGTATCAGTGTGGGTAACACCTGTGAGCACGTCACAGGAAGGACTTCCGGAAACACGTCAGACCCCGCCCTGTTTGCTCGCCCACCTCCTGCTCTCCCCAAACACAGCAAGGGAGCAGCGTGGCTCCAGGCACCTTCTGCCCACAGCCCAGCACCTACCTGTGGGCTGGCTCCCTTTTCGCCCTTTGGTTTCTGGACCAGGGGACACTTGGTGCTTGTCCCGAGTCTGTTAGAGAGCAATTCATCATGCATGCTTCCCAGATCGCTCATCCTTGTTTCTCACTGTCTCCTGTCTCCCCACTGACATTGGAACCTTCTGGAAGGGCACTGCCTCACCTACGTGTGTCCCCCCAGTGGCCTGTACTCTGCTGAGCTGGCCGCAGCTGCCCAGACAGTTCCTGTTAGCTCCGGTGCGGAGGTCGGGGACTGATGATCCTGTTTGCTGCACTGTTTGGTGCGGGCAGAGATGGATGGATTGGTGTGGGGAAGGCTGCAAACCCCTTCATTCGTGACCAGAGTCCTTCCCTGCCCCGCCAGACAGGGGTGCCCCGGAGGCAGAGGGAACAGCAGCGGCGGGGCGTCCATAACAGCCTGGGTCAGCGTGATTTGGGAGGCACAGAGCACGGGCCCTGACGCATCCATTTGTATCGGTGTTGATGGTGATTTGATGTCATTAGGGATTCAGGTCTCATCTTCGCGTCTGAGATCATCTGGGGATGGGGAAGGGAGGAGAGGAGGCAGGCGTCCACAGGGAGCCAGGATCCGACCGGATAAATCTGGGAGGGGAGGTGCCCAGAGCCCGGCCTGCTGGTGGGCGGACAAGGCTGAGCCACAGAAAGCGAGAGGCGGCTGGGTGGACGGTCACCATGAGAGGGGCCACGCAGGTGTCCGTGGTGCTGCTCCTGGTGGCAGTGTCCGACTGTGCCGTGATCACCGGGGTAAGTTGGCTGGGGTTTCCCTGGGTTTCTGGAGAGTGTCAGGTCCCCGTGGGAGTGAGCCGGGAACTGCCGGGGGCAAACTGAAGGGAAGGGGGCTGAGCCGTCCCCTGACAGTGTCCCCTTCCCGCTGTTCACACGATTTTCCCATTACTCAGACCTCACCCTGCTAAATGGGTGTGCTTTGCAGAAGCTGTGTGTAAATCCAATCCTGTTTTCTGTGTGTTAGGAGAGCACTGAAAATTCTGTCATCTGGACCTTTGGTGACTTGAAGATTCCTAATTGGTGTAATAAACCCTTAGAAAACAGATTAGCATCTTTTAATTTATCTTTTGTGCAAGTCTGGGTTTTCCCATAGGGCCTGGGCCATGTGTCAAGTTCAATTCACCCAGTGCCTTGGCCTCACTGAAGGCAGGGACCTTGTCAGCGTCTGCCGGGCGCCCTTAGCCTCTGCTTTCTCTGCTCTTACCGAAGGCCGTCTTGAAACCCTCCTTCCCTCCCTGACTGTGTGTCTTCGCTCTGTGCCCAGTTCTGGTGGGAACAGGGGCAGCTCCGACCATCCGCTGAGTGCACCCAAAAGCAAGCGTGGGGCCACCCGCAGCAGCGTGGCCTCACCCCGGTGGGTGTGCCCACGGGCCCCACACACGTTAGTGCTCCAGCCACACGGCTTGCGAGTCTCTCCCAGAAGAGTGGCTTTGCTTGGGGCTTCCCTCAGAGGGGCACGCGCTGTGTCACAGTGGTGGGGGCACTCTCATTCCAAAAGAAACTGGCGGTTTACCCGCCAGCTTTGCAGGTGAAAGCCACTAGGACAAGAAGGGACATTCATTCGAGTGTCCACCTTCTCCAACTTTCCCCTTGGAGGGTGAAGCTGCAGGGAAATGCCCAAGGGCTCCTGGGATCAGGTTAGTTTTCCTGCTGAGAGGAAGGAGGGCCCCTTTCTTTTCCTCGTTAGAGGACAGAGACTGGGTTTCAAAGGCCGGATACGAAAGGCAAGTGGGTGCTTTGGAGACCCAGAGTGGAAATAAAATTGCTCGTGCAGAATCTTTCCTAGTGAAGCAAACCCCGGAAGCCTGGCCTCCTACTGGGCTTCGCAGGTGGGAGAGGAGGTCAAAGGGGAGAAGCCGTGTCACCCTGCCCAGAGGGGTGGGAGCCGGAAGTTGACCCCATGCCCAGGTCACCTTGCACTGTGAGCTCCGACATCTGGCCCAGAATGGAGGCAAGAGGTAGGTCTGAGAGAGGTGGGAAGTGCCTCCCTCCAAGTCATCGCTTTGAAAAGCACCTTGAGAGAGAAACCAGGTGAAGAGAAATGCATGATATGGGAGGAGAGGGTAGAACCAGCGCTGAGGGCAAGTCAGAACCTGCCCCCCTGCCCCGCCCCATCTGACTCTCAGTAAGGGGCTGCTTTCTACCACCCACACTTCTCTGCTTCCCAGACCAACCCGTCCCAAATTCAGGCCTGGGTGGTCCTTCCCCCGAGAGTGGGACAGCGACTCCCTGTCTCTGGAGGAGGGTCGGGTGGGGTCTGCTCGGCCTTGACCCTGAGCTTTCAGGGGCCCTCTGGTGTGTGAGACATGCGCTCACTGTCCTGGCGACCAGCACGGCCAGGTGACGGACGCCTGCAGCTCTTCAGGGTGACAAGCAATCCGCAACCCCACTTGGCTCCTGGAGCTGAGCAGGCGGTCAGTGTCCAGGTCCTGCCACCTGCCTCGGGCAGCAGGGGGTGCCCCGAGGCCTATTGTTGGGGGAGAAGAGCGAACCCATGACCAGACTTGCACGGCAGCCCCACAAATCTGCAGAGCTCTGGAGGTGGAGGGGTGGAGGGCTTCTCTGTCACAGCCGCTGAGTCAGGCGCCATTCACAGCTCAGTTTCCCCAAATCCGGGTTTCTGTTTAAAGTGGGCTCACGGGGCCTTCTTCACAAATGGCCCCTTCCTGACACTCACAGGGCCACTCAGCCCCGACCTGGGAGCCTTGCTCGGAGGGGTTCACTCCTGTTGAGGGGGGCAGCTGCTCCTGTGGGAGCCTCTGGGGGAGCTGGGCTTCCGGGGAGAGTGTGGGACATCAACGTGGGGAGGACAGGCACCCACCCACTGGGTGCTGCTGGGTCCAGGGAAATTTGGCACCGACTCCCTGGGAACCCAGGCCCTCAGGCCTCCCCCCCCCAAACGTGAGCTAATTCAATCCCACCAGTAGTGACTGTGCCAGAGAGCTGTCTCCTGACCTCTAGACTTGTCAGAAAGGGAGGGCTCTCCCTACCGAGTGACCTGGAAGGAGCTTGCTGCAGGGAGGGGTCGGGGGAGGGTGTCCTCACATCCAGGTTTGAGGCCCCACTGAGCCCTGAGCCTCCCGCTGTGAGGAGGTGGGGCAATAATGCAAGGTCCCAGGTATCCTGTGGGGCTTGGGGGTGGGTGCCACTTTTAGCATCTCCCAACCCCCCATAGTTTTTGGATGTTTTTTTTTTGCTCTGGTTTTTCTTGGGTGACCTTAATGGTCCCTTTGTCGCCCCCTGCAGGCCTGTGAGCGGGATGTCCAGTGTGGAGCGGGCACCTGCTGTGCCATCAGCCTGTGGCTCCGGGGTCTGCGGATGTGCACCCCGCTGGGCCGAGAGGGAGAGGAGTGCCACCCGGGGAGCCGCAAGGTGCTACAGGGACCTGCTGGGGCCGCAGTCAGGGCAACAGAGCTGGGCTGGAACCTCTCTTTCCACTGAGTGCTTTTGCTTTTTTAAGCCTCTTTATAACTGTAGGTGGAAGGCTCTGTTATGAACCCGTTTTACAGATAATAAAGTTGAGGCACAGAGAGGCTAAATAACTGGTTAGTTGTCACACAGCCAGTAAGTGGCAGGGCTGGGATTTGAACCCAGGCCGCGGGACACTAACTGCTCTTCATCGCTCCTATTTAACCCCGTTGGTGGCGGAGCGCTCCTCTGGGTGTGGGTCACGGTGCAGAGACAGCGTGGGTCCTTCCAGCTGCTCCCCAGCCCCAACACAGTGTCTCACACATAGTGGATGAATCACAAGTGGTGTTCAATCAAGGAATGCGTGTGCGAGTGTGTGCGCACGTGTGTGCCGGGCCAGCGAGGGCAGGCAGTGCTGGGGGCGGTGGGGCTTTAGGGTCGGGGGTGAGCAGCATTGTGCTGTGGCTCATCCTATATTCTCGGGTTCAGATCCTGGCTCCTCCCAAACTGAGCTGTGCCATCTTGGCACGCTGCCTGGCCACTCTGGGCCTCCGTTTGCCCCTCTGTCACAGCTGTCCCTATTGGGCCGGGGCGGGGTGATGAGACAGCGGTCAGGGCTGGAGCCCCCGCCCGTCCCTTTGGTGAGGGCGTCCCCCTTCTCCTCCTCTCTCCGCAGATCCCCTTCTTCAGAAAGCGCCAGCATCACACCTGCCCGTGTTTGCCCAACCTTCTGTGCTCCCAGCACCTGGGCGGCAGGTACCGCTGCTCCGAGGACTTGAAGAACATCAACTTTTAGAGCTCGTCTGGTCTCAGGATGCCCACCAGCCCTCTTGCTGACGCATCCAGGACGGTCTCCTACGTACTATTGTTTTATTTCTGCCATGTGGCCCCGTCCTCACCACCCCAAGCTGCCTGCATTGCCACTCCCATCACCTCTATCCCTCCTTCCCAGCACTCGCCCAGTGACGTGATTCACGGCACTGGCCTGAGGGTGTCCCAGCTGTGGCTGTGGCCTTGGAGGTGGCCTGACCGGTTCTCTGCTGCTCAGGCTGCCGGAGGGGCTTAAGTAGCAGGAAGGGTGCTCCTCCCTTGTCCTCGCCTCACCCGCCCTCTGCTCCTCAGAGCTGACGTGTCCTCCCCGGGTCTTGCTTCTCTCCTCCTTGCACAGACCTGGGGTGCCCGCTGGTCCTGGTTGGAACCTTGTCTGGCCTGTCCGTGAAGCCTGCGGGGGTCACCCTGCGGTCATCTTCCTTTGATGCACTGGCTCCTCAGTTTTAGGTCACAGGCCCGAGGTTAGCCCTGCCTGGAGGGGAGTGGACAGTGACCTTGAGGCAGATGTGAGGAGCCAGGGAGGTTGGGGGGCCCCCAGACGGCAGCCTGACCCCTGGGCCAAAATCGCAGGGCCTCCAATGTCCTTGCACACACATTTTGCCAGTGAACAGGGATGTCCCCAATTCCCATGGCCCCCCTAAGAGGCAATGGTGGGGTTTAATCTAATCTGCATTTTAGGAGGTAACTAGGGAGTTGCCTTAAACAGCCCCTTTCCCAGGCTCAGCCCCTGGGAGCAGGTCTGGGGGGAGGGGGGAGGGGCAGCTGCCAGCAGGGCCAGAGCCTGGGGAAGGCATCTGGCTCTGCATCGGAAGTCCACAGTCATCTGTCCGGGAGCTGTGTCACAGGCACCCACACTCTTCTTGACCCCCAACCCTACTGAGCACCTCCCACCTGGACCCGGCTCCCTGGGGACAGGGCAGTGACACCACATGCTGTGTGCCCTGGCCTGCTGGTTGCAGAATAAAAGTGTGAACAAGGGGCGAGTGGTCATGGTGTCCCTGCAGTGCCTGAGTGGGGCCTCGGGGGCAGGCCTGGCTGTGTCCAGGTGGGGGACAGGTGCCACTTGGGCCTCCTCACAGCTATGATGGTTTCTTGGGGAAAGTAGATGTGTAGCTATAAAAAGAATCTAGTGATAAGTAGAATATTTCCATGATAAGGGTGCATCTTAGAAGAATTAAATCAAATTAGGATTGGGTAAAACGGACACCCCCTCAAGATGCAGGTCTTTTAGGAAGGTGCCTACTCCCACACCCTGGGCCTTTCTCTCCAATTGCTGGAGTCTGGTGCCATCTAGTGGCCAAAGTGGAGATGGCACAGAAAAGATACACGGAAAAAAAATGGAAGCTTCAGAAGAAGCCTTCTCAAAGCAGATGGGGACCAGTCCCCAGATGACCCCAAGAGTTAGAGTCACTCAGAGGTTTAGAGTGGCAATGCCTCTACCTTTGGAAAGAGGACCACCACTCTAAGGAGTGTAGGAGAAATGCTTAATTGCCCTTTGGGTCCTGCCCCACCCTGGGTACTTCTTAGAAGCCACTGTCACTATCCCAAGAGACACCTGTCATCCTTCCCCCAGGATTAGGAAAGTGTGAGGTGGGCAGGATCAGGCAAGGACATTTGGGTGTCCCTCCCCATCTATCTGTGTGCTGGCCCTGTGTTAGGGTTTCCATACACCCCACCCCCACCCCTGGGTATCCAAGTTCAAGGTCAGCCTAGATTTTAATTTCTCCCACTGTCCCTTCTTCCTGAGCTCCATGAAATGGCATATTACTTAGCCACAAAAAATGGAAGCAAGCTCCCCGAGAACACTATGTTGAAGAGCTGAACCCCAAAGACCACATCCCGTCTGATTCTTTTTGTGTGAAATGTCCAGACAGAAAGTAGCTTGGCTGTTGCCCAGGGCTGAGGGCAGGGAAGTGGACTAGTAGGGCTGCAGGGTTTGTTTGTGGGGCAGCAGCAGAGCTCTAGAACAATGTCTAAATCCTAAAGACTGCGGAGCTGCACAGGTCAAATGGGTGACTTGGTACGCAGTGTGAATTACATTACAACAAAGCTATTTAGAGAAGTGAATAGGAAGATGCACACATTGAGAAACACGCTCTCCAGTGTCCGCTGGCAGGCGGAGGCCGATGCCCCCAGGCTGGAGAGGTTGAGGCCTGAGGCCCGGACCGTCTCAGGACGGGACAGAGCAGCCGTCTTTACTGGAACCAGGGCTCAGCTCCCAGGTTTGGGGCTGCCGGGCACCCGGGGGGGTCCTCCAGTCTGGGCACCCCAGGGCGGAGGCATGGCGGGCTGGCAAAGGGCTGGGGTCCCTTCTCCTTCTCCTTCACCTGACTTGGTGGCATGGGGGGAGTGATGTGCCGAAGACGGCGCTTTCCACGTGTGGTCTTCTCCACCGGCCAACTTGAATGGCGCCTTAATTTGTTTCCATTTATTGTGATGGCATCTTAAAATGTGAGTTGGCTGGCCCTGGCCTGGTGGCTCAGTTGGTGGGTTGCCCCATACACTGAAAGGTCTCGGGGTTCCATTTCCAGCTGGGGTGTGTATGGGGCAACCGATCGATGTTTTTTTTTGTTTGTTTCTTCCTCTCTCTCAAAAAAAATCAGTGAAAACACATTCTTGGGTGGGGATTTTTAAAAAGGGGGGGCAGCTGGCTGCACTCAGAGCCCGTGGAGCTGCATCCGAGGCCTCACAGGGGCGTGCGGGAGGCAGGTCGTCTCCTGCAAGGACACTTTTAATTTTTCCGAGGGGGGAGCACTGCCCATGGTGGTGGGGGCAGAGAAGTTCCTATGGTAACCGCCGAGGGCTGTTTGGGTCTCTTTCAGAATTGCACCCTGGACTGATGACCCTGGAGAGGTTGCGTGATGCACCAGCCCCTCCGTATTCCAACCCCCTCAGCCCCCCGAGGCTCCTCTTGACCTTGATGAGCTGCTACTGATGCCTTCCACTCAAAGTTTATAAAGAAGGGGCCCGGAGGTAGCCTGTTGCCGGCCACAAGCCCTAGAGAACTGTGCTGGGGCCTTAAAAAACCACTTGGCCCAGGTCGTGGAGGTATGGCCTTTCGTCCAGAAGGTTCTTTCGTGTCTCAGCCCTTGCCTACTTGGAAGGCTCAGTTTGGGGGACACAGATACGCCAATCTTATCTAGGTGCGCCTGGACCCCTTGCTTAAACATGCGAGTCGCTGTTTTGTAGTCAAGTGGAAATGTTTGCTCACCATCTTAATCCTGCGCTATTCAGTTTCTTTTTCTAGCAAAAGCAGGAGAGTGGGCTCTGAATTCTCTCCTAGCTCTTCTTGGGTTGTGTTCAAATTAAACCTGCCAGAGTGTGAGTGCCCCCTGAGACAGGCATCACCGGGACTGGTGGCTGTCCCCACCCTGAAGCTGGAAGTCCCAGGAACACCCATTTCCAAACTGTCCAGAGAACCACTGGAGGAAGGGGTTAAGGCGCTGATTCCTGCAGTCAGATTCAGCGAGGCTTGAAAAGAGCCCCTCCCACTGTGGCAAATGCAGATGGTTCCCCCCCACCTCCCCGGAGAAACATGGCACTACCCATCCACCCCCAGCTCCAGAGGAAATCAATTACACAGAGAATAAAAATTCTAACTTTCCTTCCAAGAGGTGGAGTAGTTACCTCCCATCAGAAAGTGTTCCAGAAGACTTCTGGCCAAGATGGAGGCGTAGGTAGGCATACTGTGCCTCCTCGCACAACAAAAGAAGGGCAACGACAAATTTAAAACAAGAAACAACCAGAACTGCCAGAAAATTGAACTGTATGGAAGTCTGACAACCAAGGAGTCAAAGAAGAAACACTCACTCAGACCAGTAAGAGGGGCAGAAAGAGGCAACTGGGCGGAAAGGACTTGTGGCAAGATGGCAGCTGGAGGGCTGGGCGGTGCAACCTCACAGCACCTGGGTTGCCCCGCCCCTTACTACATAACAGGTGTGTGGAGAAAAAAAGAAGGCCTAAATGAAAGAACAGATCAAAGTTCCAGAAAAAAATACAACTAAGCAACAAAGAGATAGCTAACCTATCAGATGCACAGTTCAAAACACTGGTAATCAGGATGCTCAAAGAATTGGTTGACTGTGGTAAAAAAATTAGAGGAAAAAAATGAAGGCTATGAAAAGTGAATTAAAGGAAAATGTACAAGGAACCAACAGTGAAGGGAAGAAAACCAAGGCTCAAATTAATGGTTTGGAGCAGAAGAAAGAAATAAACATTCAGCCAGAACAGAATGAAGAAACAAGAATTCCAAAAAATGAGGAGAGATGTAGGAACCTCCAGGACAACTTTTAAATGTTCCAACATTTGAATCATAGGGGTGCCAGAAGGAGAAGAGGAAGAGCAAGAAATTGAAAACTTATTTGAAAAAATAATGAATGAGAACTTCCCCAATCTGGCAAAGGAAATAGACTTCCAGGAAGTCCAGGAAGCCCAGCGAGTCCCAAAGAAGTTGGACCCTAAGAGGAACGCACCAAGGCACATCATCATTAAGTTACCCAAGATTAAATATAAGAAGAGAATCTTAAAAGCAGCAAGAGGAAAGGAGACAGTTACCTATGAGGGAATGCCCATAAGACTGTCAGCTGATTTCTCAAAAGAGACCTTACAGGCAAGAAGGAGCTGGAAAGAAGTATTCCAAGTCATGAAATCTAAAGACCTACATCCAAGATTGCTCTATCCAGTAAAGCTTTCATTTAGAATGGAAGGGCAGATAAAGTGCTTCTCAGATAAGGTCAAGTTCAAGGAGTTCATCATCACCCAGACCTTATATGAAATGTTACAGGGACTTATCTAAGAAAAATAACATAAAAAATATGAACAGTAAGATGACAACAAACTCATAGTTATTAAAATGACAACAACAGTTATTAACAACCAGACATTTTTAAAAAAGTAAACAAACAACTAGAACAGAAACAGAATCACAGAAATGGAGATCACATGGAAGGTTATCAGCGGGGGAAT